CAAAGGGTGAATATGCAGAAGAATCACAGACTGAGTGCCCTAAAACAGCTGGTACTGTCAGCTTGCACTTATTTGTGCAAAATCCAGCGCTCTTGATTGCATTAAGACCAAATACGATCCATATTGGATGTTAAAGAGCGGGGAGATGTTCTCTTTCAGCTATATACTGAACATGTGTCAATTACATGTGTGTGTGTTTTTTTTATTGATCTACTTTTAACTTGTTGAAAACCCTGACATTAATAATAATGAAATAGTAGACTAAATAGTCAAATGTGTTAACTTTCGTGAGAATTTTTGCAGACAAATAGTCACAGACCCATTTTTTAAATATAAAAATGACTGAGAGCATCTGGTTTATAGGGTTATTTTCATAATGTTAAACTGTTTACTTCTAAACAAAATTCCCCCCATTTATTAGGATTCCCTTCACATCTGAGTGGTTAAATTTGAAGCGTAATTCTGTCTCATGATGTTTGCAGTCTGGCTTCTGTTGCGATCGTGACCACTTCACCACACGGGATGCCTAACCTTCATGTCTCATTATTATGCAACAGCTCTCGTCTACCGTCCAGGTGGAACGGTGGATGTTTTGGAAAATTCCGGCCCTCCACAGGCCTCATCCCACGTTCTGGCAGTACCTCGCATTTCCACCTGCTTCCAGGTTGTTCTAGGCATTCTGGTAGCTGCTGGGCCATGGCCAACAGCCAATCAGAGCGCAGGAGCGTCCCGCTCACAGCTGTGATGCTGATGAAGTCTTCTTCTCTTCCTCATCAGACCTTCCATCACATATTTCCTGTTATAAATGGGTATGATGTGACATCACAAGTGGAGAGGCCATCTGCGCACGGCAGGGTCCCGGGCTATTTCTGTCAGGGCTCCACGTACGCACATACTCACTGGCTGGAAGAGTTTCTGTTTATCGAAGGGAAGCATGAAACTTTTTACGAGGTCAAAGCAAAGATGTCATGGATGCGAGAGATTTGAGGACACTTTGGTATAATATTTTGTTGCTTCTGCCAGACTTGATAACACAAAAGACCAGTGGTTCTCGACTAGTGGGTTGCAAATCAAAAATGGATTGCTAGTCTGTTCTGAGAAGTGCTACAACAAAGCTATTATAAAAGCTACTTTTACTATTATTATTATTATTTCAACATTTTCTCACTGTTATTATTTAGATTATTTAATGTGGTATTATTTTGTATTGTTTTAAAACATACAACCTTTTATTTTGCATACCTTTATTATTATTATTATTATTAACATGTTTAATTTTGCATAGCAATATTATTTGGGATTATTTATTTTATTATTCTAAAACAAACAATTTAAGATTTTGCATATCGTTTTAAACTTCTTTTAATTTAGCATAATATTGTCTTAATTACTTTTTTTGCATTTTTGTTTAATTTTACATAGTAATATTATTTTGGATTATATAGTGATTATTATTTTTTATTCTTATTTAAAACAAACAACTAAATTTTGCATCATCATTATTATTATTATTATTAAACAAACAATATATTTAGCTTTGCACACTGTTATCTTAATCAGTAATTTTTGTTATTATTATTATTATTATTATTATACATTTCAGTCATTAATTTGTCTGTTTCATTTTCCTATAATATCATATTTATTTTCAGTTGTTATTATTATTGTAATACAATTCAGTATTTTTTCTTTTTTCATAATATCCTATTTATTTTCATTTATTAGTAGTTGTAGAATTTTTATATATTTCTGTATTACAACATTACAGTAATAAACTATTTTGGTGCTGTGTTGACTTGCCACAAAGCGAAACCAGTTGAGCACCACTAAAGTAGCCATTTTCTTTGCGGTCTTTTACGCTATTGCTTAATCAATACGGTGCACATTAGAAACATAACAGAAATGCTGTGTCATAATTTCAAAGTGAACCCTGCCATCTTCCCTGCCCGGCATCCAAAAATAGCCGTTGTTTTTGGAGGGCTGCAGTGTTTGCAACCCTGGCCAGATGGGGTGTGAAGACAGGGGCTGGAGTCATGGAGAGAGTTCCCATCAGCCCGCTGGGTGAGGGATGGAACCCAGAATGGCTCCGTACACTGCAGTGGCTGTCAAGGCCTCAGAGAGCAGGGGGGTGATGAGCAAACGGCTGGATCCGAGACCCCACATGGAAGGTTTAAACACAGACGCTTTGACCTCTCTGCTAATCAAGGTCATGTCGAGCGCCTGTTTATTTCACTGACAAATGGTCATAATATAGTTGGCGATTGATGCGGTTATGAATAACACAGTAGTGCACAAGTAAATCAGAGTAGAAAATGGATTGAATTGTCATTTAGTGTGTGAATATGTGTGTGTCATTTACATGCACGAGACATGACAGAAAGTCCTTTGGTTGGTGCATTCCCATCAAGGAGGGATTGTTTATGAGGTAACAGCTTTGGATAATAGGATTCCAGCCATGGCCTCGGGATTTATGTGACCAGGGAGATTTTTGACTGTTGGAAGAAATTGGAAAAATAAAAATAAAAAACGACTGAATCGCTTTGCACCTTGTTTTTCTTCCAGGGCTCTTGTTTCACTCCAACAGCCCTGACAGTCAGACATGTCATCTCAGAACATCGGTAAAGGGCTGACAGCCAAAGGTGAAAAATAACACCTCTGTGTTCATTCATCAACAGTGTCCGGCCCCAAAAGAGCAGCCCGTTAACCACAACACACAGCTGGAGAAAACCTTCCTTATCAGATCATGATGGAACATCTATTCTGAGCCAGTGTCCTGCAACACAGACATCCATCACAGTCCGTAACACACATAGAGTATGATCTATATCACAAGATCAAGCTTTTCTTTGAAATCTTGTATAAAAAAATTTAGTTTAAAGACAAAGGTCACCAATAAAATAAAATAAAAAATTCTCATGTTGTTCCAAACCTGTATGACTGACTGACTTCTGTGGGACGCAAAAGAAGATATTTAAAATAATGTAATGGAGCTTTTGAGCTACAAAAAAAAGAGACAAAGCTAATGAATCACAAAAGCAGTTTATAAGACTCATGCATTATGTATGTTTTGTGAGGAACCAACACAAATGGAAACTATTATTCACTGATAACCTTCATCTTTAGTGAGATGTTAAAGGGATAGTTCACCCAAAAATGAAAATTCTGTCATTAATTACTCACCCTCATGTTGTTCGAAACCCATAAGACCTTCGTTCATCTTCGGAACACAATTTAAGATATTTTTTATTAAATCTGAGGGCTCTCTGACCCTCCCATAGACAGCAAGGTAACTACCACGTTCAAGGTCCAGAAAAGTACCAAGATGATCGACAAAGTAGTCCGTGTGACATCAGTGGTTCAACTGTAAAGTTACGAAGCTACGAGAATACTTTTTTTGCACAAAGAAAACAAAAATAACGACTTTATTCCACATTTTCGTCTCTACTGCGTCACTTTGGACACGCGTTCATGACAGTACCATGACGTGAGCGTGTGGCAGCGCCGGCGCTGACCCAGAACCGGCGTGATGACATCATTACGCCGGATCTGGGTCAGCAATGCCACATGCTCGCATGTGTAAAGTCCTAAATAAAGTCCTTATTTTTGTTTTCTTTGCGCAAAAAAAGTATTCGCGTAGCTTGTCGATCATCTTGGTACTTTTCTGGACCTTGAATTAAATTGTGTTCCGAAGAAGAACGAAGGTCTTATGGGTTTCGGACAACACGAGGGTGAGTAATTAATGACAGAATTTTCATTTTTGGGTGAACTAACCCTTTAACTATTGAGTCAGTGAATCGAACTTGAAACTTCATCAGTTTAATTTTGGAATGAGTCATTCAGACCACTTTTGTGAAGGAGATCAACCAAAACAAGATCTGACTCAAAACAATGATTTGTTCAATTTGTTCAGCTGTATATCATCAGCTCCGTTGTATCACCAAATGAAGCTAGGGAAGATATTTGGTTCGGTCTGTTCATTTATGAACATATTATTGTATGCCGTCAGAGTTGTCGTCATATGAACTACTTCTTTGGGGGAAATCTCCAGTCTCCATTCTCCATTATTTGCAGTTGCATGGAAAAAATGTCCAGTATATTCTTTGAAATGTCCCCTTTTGTGTTCGGCAGAAGAAAGAAAGTCAGGTTTGGAACAACATGAGGGTGAATAAATGATGACAGAATTTTCATTTGCGGATGAACTATTCCTTTAGGTTAAAAGAAAATTATTTCCGTTTAACGTTCGCCTGGCTTGTGGTTGTTGGAGTTAAATGGCTCCCACTCTTTCAGCTGCATTGTAAGTGCCCTCACAGCTCTTTGATGCAGTGCTTTTGGTAATTGATGTGCTCTGTAACGTGGGCACGGTGGAAGAAAGGCTTGTGGGGGGGTTTTGGAGTAGATGCATGAATTTAAATAAAGCTCCGGCTGTAAGTAACTGCAGGAATGAGATGCATTTTTTTCCTTTTGGCTGACTTGACTGAGAGGCGTTTGATTTATCCTCACAAGGAGCTGAGCGCTGGCTCGCCTGTCCCGCTTATTTACTCTCCGCATTGCTCTGCTGGGTATTGGCCAGTTATTTACTGCAAATGGTCACATTGGTACGAGATGGGAGAAAATCGGGCTCTTATTTATTTATTTATTTTTCAATTAAAAGTGGCACGTCAGAACAGAGATTTAAAGGTTCCGAGGGATCCGACGCTCTAACTGTGCTGGGGCCTAGGAGGCGTTCCAATATTGCTTTGTTGTCGACTGTCTCTTTAGGAATACAGAGACAGACTGCTGGAGTGGGCTCAAGGTATTTGACTCTTCAATGCCGGCAAGTTTTTACCAATGACAATAAAACAGTCAAAAGACCAATATATATGCATATGAAGGTCACTTTATATTGCAATTTTTCAGACCAAAAAAAATCTATGTGGGGCTCCACAGCTGAGATGTGCAGTCATTGTACAGTAATAATCTGTGTTATGTGATCTCAAAGGTTCCTTAATTTCCTCATATAGACATGAAGCTGGGCAGAAACGTGGCCCGGACATTCCTGGATTACTACAAACTGAACAACCTGATAGATGAAAACAAACTCACAGGACACATTAACAGGTGCATAATGCAATCACATATTTCATTATCTCACAGCAATGGCACTGATCTTGGGTTTGTTTTTGTTTTCCATATCATTACATTACATAGATAGTTTATACTACAATCCTACTAGAAGACACTCTTTGCATAAGATGAGCCACTTTGTACTTTTTTTATTACTTAATTGAGTCATATATAATTGCGATATTTAAACAACTTGAAACTTAAGGTGGTAATCAGCAAAATTGTATTTAGCTTAATTTGTTAAAGGATTACCCAGGTGAAAAAGACGTAGTATTACAAGTATTAAAAAGTACTTGAAGTACATTAAAACGATGCTTCAAATATACTCTAACTGTAGTTCAGGAAGTATTAAAAGGACATTTTAAATGTATTTTAAGAAATACACTTAAATTGCACTAAATATACTTAAAGTGGTTCCATTTTAACACAATTTCAATATATTAAATATATTACAAATAGATTAAAATCAAACTTAAGCATATCTTGAAATACACTTAATATACTTAAAGTTGTTTCAAAATAATACATTTAATATGCACTTAGTATAGTATAATTTAAATATAGTAAGCATGTCTGAAAAAGCACAATTTAAATATATTTCTTTTTCACCTGGGTAGTTCACTTCCAGAATAAAAATTTCCTGATAATTTACTCACCCCATGTCATCCAAGATGATTTACTCACCCCCATGTCATCATGTCTTTCTTTATTCAGTCAAAGAGAAATTAAGGTTTTTGAAGAAAACATTGCAGGATTTTTCTCTATATAGTGGAATTCAGTGGGAGACGAAGGGTTGATGGTCCAGATTGCAGTTTTAATGCAGCTTCAAAGGGCTCTACACAATCTCAGCCGATGAATAAGGGTTTTATTTAGCAAAATGACTGGCCATTTTCTAAAAAAGAAAATGTATATACTTTTTAATCAAAAATGCACGTTTTGCACTATCTCCGTGATGCGCGTCCGCGACTTCACACATTACGTAATCATGTTGGAAAGGTGACGTGTGACATAGGCGGAAGTACCAACACAGTGTTTACAAAGCAAACGCGCAAAGAAAGTGAGATGCACTTTACAAAAAAAGCCAAAACAACGATTTTGGATGATTATGAAGTTGGAGGAAAAAATGAGATGGAGTTTTTTTTTTGCCCTACCCTACCTTTTTTAACCGAAGTACACAGACAAAGAATTAATGAAGCTTTCCTTTCAATGGCACCCAATACTACATAATGTGTTAAATGCTTCACACAACAGATAACATTCAGATTTTTGTTTAGTTTACAGATGATCTCTTATGAGAGCATCTAATGTAATGCATCTCAACATTTGTTTTCCTTCATCCCAAACTTTTTGACCTGAATTTTTTAGTGTAGAATTTAATATTTTAATAATTTCACAAACAATTCACATGCTCAGCTCATGGTCACATGTCATGCAGTAAACAAAGAAAATATTTGATCTTTTTTTGTATTATTTTTGTGTTTTATTTTAAAAATTATATATTTGAATTTGCCATTTTTATGATATAATTATTAGTTCCCTTTCATGGGAACTTCGAACTGCGTCCTCTAGGGGTCGCTATATATATATATATATTATTTACTGCTTTCACCATACGCACTCACAGATGAATGAAATGATTGTCTACTTTTGCAAGTACTGTCACATGCTTTATTTTCTGTATAGTTGTCTCAAAACAAGGGGTGGCTCATCTAACCCTGAACTTCTGATTCTTACAAAACTCCTCTAAGAAACATCCTTTATGTCTTTCAGCACTTTCGATGGAACATCCACCAGTCATCAAGGAAACAATGCTGGAAATGGGAAGGTTAAAGGTGACAGAAAACCCCATGGAGTCAGGAATTACTAAAAACACAGGGAATACTGTATGGTTCCACATCCTCGAGTGAGACGTTGTGAACTGTGGTCCACTTGCAAATTACGTTTTCATATCAGCCCACAGCAATCCACCAGATATTTGTTGTCTACGTTTTTATGTGCTGATAGGACTCAACGACTGTGAATAAGTCTTTGGTATTAATTCTCACTTGTGAGATATTGCACAGAGAAAACATCAACAGTAAATTATCCCACCGGCTACATGTATTGCTTTTTCAGTGCTTTATTGAATACCAACTACTTTCTTTGCCTTGCATTTGGAGCTGCCTATTATCAGTACAGAAATTGTATTTCACTCAGCTGTACTCATTCTGATAAAGTGATTACTTTTATGAATTCTTTAATTGTCTAGATAGTCATCTTGAGTTGTTTTTTCAAACCTGAATGTTTGAAAATTGCTTAAATAAAAAGCAATTGACCTGTAATGTTTTATTATATTCATGCTTTGTGTTCATAAATTTGCTTCTAATAAAGTGTTTGATAAAAAAATGGCTTTCCAGTGTCTTATTACGTGCTTATATTGAAATCCAGCAGAAGTAATTTTGAAATGCTGTTACAAAAACATTTTAATCCTCTCATCATAGTCTCAGGGCAATAAGCATCAACACATCGTCTGCTGTTCACCAAAGTACTCTAATACAGAGTCTGTAACACAGCGTCTCCAAACAATGTCTGATCTGTCCACACACAGAACACAGTGTGAGGGGGCTAAAATACTGAATGGCTCAAGCTATCAGTCAAGAAGTGTGAAAAGCAGCGTGTATTTTTCAGGCCAGTCATTCGGAATAACTGAGGCAATCAGTTAGAAAAGGCAAAAACAAATGACTTGCATTTTAGATGGTAGAAGAGAAGATGGCGAAAGCTAATGTGAATGAGAAAACACATCCATCTACAGAATCTCGACAAACACACACACACACACACACACACACACAGATAATGGCGCTGTCATACCTAAAAGCCTTTGTGCTTATGGAGAGCCTCACCTCCCCACTGCTCTGTCATTTTAACCAGAGCCTCGAACCATTAGTCCCTTATGCTTGGCTCACCTCGCTGCCACAAACACATCCTAATTGCCTAACTGTTTGCATTTACCTTCTTAAACATCAACATGGTCCATTCCTTTGCACAAGTTAACTGGCCTCTGTGATTCTCTGTGAGGTCTGTCTCTCAGCACTAGCAGTGGTGTGGTTCACTTTGAGGGCAGATTCTTATTGAACATCATTATAAGCAGCTTAAAACTGAGACTTAGTGAACTAATGTCACCCCACTTTTAAACATTTCTACTTCCCTTCACCCTACGTGTTCAAAAATAGTCATTACTTTTCAAATTCCCGTGTCCTCATGTGTCAAATCACTCCTGGCCCCTCCTGACTTGAAGTGAAGCTGTTTTTAGGACCAAACACCCCTAACTGTGCATTTTCTTACGAAATCTTTATAAGATTCACTTTTGACAGAGTTGACACAAATCTTGGGTTGGCTCTTCAGCATCCAACAATTGTTTGTCCTATATAGAAATATCCTGTTATGACCGCTCTTTAAATTTTAGCTATTTGCTTTATGAAGTAATTCGTTCAGTTGTTAATTTACAGCAGTAATCAGTCAGCATTATTGCAAATACAATATTTTAATTATGAATTTAAATGGTTAATTTTTTTATTTGATAATAATCTTTTTTACTGTCTATGATAATAACTATTGTTATTATCATTATTACATAAATGTATGTTATGGTTAATAATTAGTAACACTAATAGCAACTACAGTATTCTGTTGTAGAATCAAACTAAATAATCTGTTTGGTTTATGAGAAAAAAATCTATTTCACTTTTATTAAAACTACAGCAGCTGTAGCTTTCATATTTTATACTTATTTTAGATTTTACAACTTTTTTTATTTTTTAGACTATTGTTTTAGGGCGTACTGAACTCTCTAGCCTTTAGCTGATCTTCTGCCTTCCGCCTTAAAAAAAGTTATTTCTACATTTAGTCACAATAGTCATTTTGTCACTTGATCGTGTCGTCATTTCCTCGCAGTTTCACGGCAGTGGTCGCATGGGCTGTTGTCATAGCAACGAAGTTTAAAAACATAGGCGGACTAACGCCGCCCAAGAAGCCTTCAGCTTCACAAATGCGACAAAAAGCGCTAAAATGCACTGTCAAGGTGGATATCCAATCTGTAAGTATATCAGCCCGCGTCCCATTCTGCCTTCTTCGTTCAACAACAACACAAATATTCCTGTTTGCGTGTGTTATGATAGAAGTTTCCGTGTTAGCATACTGTTAGCAACAAGTGGCTACTGTACCACGGATGTTCATCAGCCATCAATCAACGCTGCAACGAGCAGAAACGTGATAATAAACTCTCTTGCATTCATTCCAGCCTTCGATGTGTTTATTAAAAGCAATGCATGTGCAAACTACTTCATTTTCAGCCAGGCTGTTAGCATCTAGTAGTTTTTGGTTCAGACAGAGCTTTTGTTTTTCATATAGTGCATCATGAATATAAGAGAAATTATCTTCTGATCTGCAGGAATTTTTGATGATTCACATTAAAGTGTGACTAGGAAGAGGAAGTAGTTGCTTTACATTCGCAGATAGGCAAGACATGTTTATTAAGTAATATGTAGGTCTTTGTAAAATTAAAAGTTCGATTGGTAAGATTTTTTTTTCATGTTAAGAGATTTTTCAAATCTGCATTTATTTGAATAAAAATAGACTAAAAACCGTAATACTGTGAACTGTTATAAAAAAAACTGTTTTCTATTTTAATGTATTTTAAAATGTGATGGCAAAACGACATTTTCTTCATCCATTACATGTTTAGTGTCAAGATCCTTGAGAAATCATTCTAATATGCTGATTTGGTGCTCAAGAAACATTTCAGCAGTTGTGATACTTTTTTTCAGGATTTTTTGATGAATAGAAAGCTCAAAGGAGCAGCATTGTACATGAAAGATAATGTAAAATATAATGATATGAAATCTGGTGTAAGATGACCTCATGTTAATGTTTTTCCTCCTATAGATAACTTGTCCAGGGGTGGTGTTACCATCCCAAGAAGACATTTATGTGAGTGTTCGGATAATGGGCCAGTATCAGAAGTCCAAGTGTGTTCCTCCAGTTTTCCCTCTGCTGCTGCATGAAAAAATGGTGTTTGTGAAGGTAAGACTTTATTAAAACACCTTTGATTCATTTCAACCTGTGACACATGCTATCTTACTATCTGATTTCTTTTATTTTGTTTCTCTTCGACAGACCTTTGTGGGAGCAGTTGACCTGGGTGCTGTAGCTGAGCATCTGGAAAGTAAGAATCCTTTGGGCTGACTTCAGTTTGTCCTGTGTTCTTTCATAAACCTCAGATCAATAAACTTATATACCTTTCCATCATGTTTTTTTCCTCTGCTGCAGATGATACAACATCTTTAGAGCTCATTCAGCTCATTCCTCCAGGTAAGATCTCACATCCATTCCAGCTGTAACACTGACAGATATTTGAGGCTGTAGATTGAGTTCTCCAACATAGCGCTGTAAACCGAAAACATTACATTTGAGCTCAGCTTCGATTGAAGGCTCCAGCTTTTGCTGTTGACGCAATGACCGAATTCTCAGACCTGCTAGTACAATTTCAAAAATTAACCAACATCAGCAAGGGAATACATACATTATTGGACCGAGCACTCTCATTACAATATGCATAAATCATGCTGCTTTCAATGGAGGTCTCTTGGGCTGAGGTTTTTTTTTTGCACACAATCTGACACTCATTCGTTCCTGTTGCGTTATTGCTTTAAAACACAAAGAAACAGCTTTATTACCCCGAAATAACTTGATTACCCAGAGCTGTCAAGAAAAACGGACAGAATTCAACGTTCCATCATGTATTTTTTATTTGACTGTGCAGAGGGTGAGATCCTGGCCACGTTTGAAGAAGACACCCGGGAGTTTCTGTATCCAGGCCCTCGTTTGACTCCCAGAAGCCCCGGCCCAGAGAGAGAGATTCTGATGAAGAGATCCATCTCCTTGCCCGTGCGTGTGTCTTCCTCTCAGCGTTTTTGTCATATCTCTGATGCATCTTAAAAGCCCGTCCCATTTTCCTGCTATTTGCTTGAAGACGTAGATTGTTTTGGTAAATTGATCTGCCAAGAGTGTCATTATCTGCATTTGCCCTCTGTCTTTTCATCATTCGAAAAGTTTTGTGATGTTTTTTTTCTGCTCTCTATCTCTCCTGTCTCGTTCCCTCAGGGAATCTCTCCCAAAGTGGAGTTTTCAACGACGTCTATTATTGAGGAGTGTGATGTGAAACATGGTCAGCCTGCCATGTCTGTGAGTCTCGGGGCTTTTGTTATTGCCATTATATTGCAGCTGGTATGTGCTCCGTTCCAAAAGCTAGCGCGCTGCCTACATAGGCAGCTGCCTTTGAAGGCGTCTGGCTTCTGGAACGATGGCTTCTGTATGATGCTTCTGCTCGTTATGTTTTGGAACAGAGCAATTATTTGTGATGCTAAATAAAAAGCAACACTGAGGTTTAACCGAAAAGGATCAAACGAAGGCTTTTTTTAGATGTACGTGGGAGTACGATGGGTCTCCCTGTCAATCAAACTGTCTGTTGCCATCTGTGCCACTTTCTGCTGTCCTTCTTAGTGGCCTCACGCCCCCTTTCAGAATGTTCCTTTTACTATGCAGGTAATTACAGAGAATTGGCTCGTTTCTACTCGGATCGGCGCTGATCAGTTGGACTTGACCAGTCCAATTTGTTTCTTCCATTACTTGCTCGCAGACCTCTCGGGTCCGTTTAGAATCGCTGATTGAGTCTGCATCCTTCATGTCAAGCTTCTCAGACCCTCGTTAGACGGCTTCTGCTGTTGACCGTCTCGTCGGTCCCGTTTCATGTGCGTGTCCTCCCTTTGTGGATGTCTCTAGTTCGGACTTGACACGGCATTCTGTAAAGCGGGCTTTCTCGGCGCGATTTTTATGCATTTGAATGGCGCTTGTTTCTTGTTTAATAAGCTACTTGTGGTGCTGGCTTTGTTGTTTCAAGGACATCCGGCTTTATCTCCCATTACCAACACCAGCCGAGCCACTAATCACATCAGACAAGCGCGACTCCTGCTTTAAAACGGCCTCTTTGTCCCTCCGTCCAAAGAAAAAGGAAGGAGAGAGAGGGAGAGAAGAATAAAAGGAGAAAAAGCCACTTAGTTTAATTTCATTAAATCTCGACTCTTCAAACGGCAATCGCTATCAGGATTTACTTTTTTCTTTCTCTGCTTTTTAAAAATGACTTAATATGCCAGGATGTTCCAATTAGCATTTAAATTATCGTTGTTTTTTTACATCCATGTAATGCCATTATCATATTAGGTTGAGACCGGCCATCAAATGCAATTAACATTTTTAAAATGTATTTACCCAGGCAGTGCCTGCAGGAACAGAGTTATTGGGGCTCAGAATTATGTTAGCTGAGATTAGAGTTATTGAAGTCATTTGCCTGCAAAGGTGAGATTGGAACACTGAGGAAAGGTTTACATCAGGTTACATGTGTACATAACAAGGAAATTAGTGGATTAGCACCGTACAAACAGAAGGATGTTCGCAATATCACTACAATAAAGCGTGACCTTATACTCTCTTCCTCTGGGATCTTCTTTTCCCTTTTTATTTCAAAGGTGAAGAGTGTCATTTCTGCGTTACTAGTGGCAACAGACAGAAAAATAGCGATTGTTTCCAAACACACAGAGGCCATGCATTAATATTGCATGCTTGCGAAGGCATCGCTGTTATTATTGCTTATAGTAAGGGATTTGAACAAACCCCTAACCCTAAATATTAAACACTAATGTTTAACTGTGCTACGGACATGAATAGCCACCACACATCACCTTAGCAACTGTGTTGCAATATGCTAATAAACATATAGAGCACCTTAGCAACCACCCATATTGTATTCCCTTGACATTTTCTTCACCAAATGTAGTTATTTTTCTGTTGCCTCTGAGCTTCTGAAAGTTTTGAAATATTATATAGAAAATATCATTTTTGACCATGTTTCATGTGTTGTTTTAGTATTATTTATGTATATAGTAGTATTTAATAAGTTTACATTTTAGTTGCATTTAGTTTTATGTGCGTTTGTCACCTTTATTAGTTCTAATTTTTAATTTCTATGTAGCTTCAATTTATTTTTATTTCCATTTTAGTAATTGTAGTACTTTAAGTGTTTTATGCATTTCATGAAATATTTATATAATTTTATTTCATTACCGCAAACATTTTTGGAATAGTTTTAGTTTTAATTTCAGTTAATGATAACACTGCAACTATGAATTCTATTCAGTGAATTCATTAATTCAGTGAAGGCTTTGTTCCTATCCAGTCATGTGGTCGTTCCTCAACTAAGCCCTGTCCTGTGAGAACTTCCCCTGCAAACTCAAAGAAGAAGAAGAAGCCAGATACAGCGCCATCCTGTGGATACGAAAAGCCAACGGTGGCATCCCAAAGCCGTGCTCCTTCACCCTACACCCACCGCAAGATGTGTCAGCTGTCTGAGGAGGCCAGACAACGACTCAGCCACCTCAAACTTGGGCCCTACACATTTAAAAAAGAGACGGTCCCTCAGGCTCCGTTCGTGGTGGGTCAGATTGACTAAATGAAACAATACAAGCAGAGTTTGTGTACTTTTAATCTTTGATTAATGATCACTGTGACAAGGAACATTAACTCAGGTCAACTGCATGTTATTAACATGTTATTTCTTCACTGAGGGCATTGATTACAGGAGACGGACAACCGTGTCAAAATCTTTACTTGTTTTCGTGACTGAAGTAAAAGCATAAATTCTCCCTCTTGTTTCGTTTCCGTGTTTTCTAAAACAACAGTACATCCTGGGGTGCAAATATCAAAGCTGTCATGGTATAAAAGGCAGCTCTTGGATTTGTGTCTGATATCATCATGGCATTTTCTGTCACAGGCCTTTTAAAAAGTGGGTAGCCTTTTCAAAGAAAATCCCCAGGCTGCAATTAACCCAAGTAATTAAGAGTCAGGCCGTGATTAGCAAATTCTTCCCTCTTATTTCAGCAGATTAGCCCTTTCTGTTTATGTGTGTTTAAAGTCGGCACACTTGTTTTGCATGAAAACTAAATAGCTCGTTTCATTAACTCGCTTGGTCACTTTACTATTCAAATGAAGTTCGAATGGACTAACTGAAGTCTGAGAGTTGAGTTTATACACAGACACCTGTGTCTGAGTAACTTCCCTCTGAAGTTTCTCTCCTCACTTTCACCTTCCTAGAGAAGTGATTAACTCTCAAATGAAAGTCAAATTCATTTGAATAATCGATGCTCTGTGTGTCAATGGAGTGTTGATGCGCGCCGCTTCACCTGCTAAATCAGAGATGAGCGAGTATTTATCTTTTAATGGGCAACATAGCTGATTGCATCTTCTGTTTGCAGGTGCCCCGAAGCCCAAACACGTCGCTGATGGAAACCTCCATGTGTCTTACATCTCAGTCTTCTCCTAAAAGAAGCCCCCTACGTCTGCAATCACGGAGCTACTCCACAGACCACACAGGTCACCATGATATTTGTGTTTTTACATGTCTATTTGTGCATTTATTCATCCTCATGTCCCTCCAAACCTGTATGACTTTCTTTTACAAATGAAGATATTTTGAAAAAAGGGGTCCAGTATTGTTTTGGATCCGACTGACTTGTATGGTATGGACAAAAGCAGATCTTGAAAAGACACTACTGTTCAAAAGAAAATAAATGAATACTTTTTATTAATACTCAGCTAGGACACATTAAAGGGATCAAAAGTGACAGTAAATCAATGTTATGAAAGGTTTGTATTTCAAATAATTTTTAAAACCTTTCTATTTGCTAAAGAATCCTGAAAAAAACTTTCCACAAAAATATTGAGCAGCACAATTGTTTTTCAACATTAATAACAATAAATGTCTCTTGAGCACCAAATTAGCATATTGGCATGATTTCTAAAGGATCATGTGATACTGATGACTGTAGGAATGACCGCTGAAAATTCTGCTTCTCTATCACAGGAATAAATTACATACTAAGTGCAATAATAGTTCAATCGATCAAATAAATGCAGTCTTAGTGAGCATTTAACTTCTCTAAAAAAAATCTTACCAACCCCAAACTTTTGAACAGTAGTGTAGCTTCTTTTGTGTTCTCCAGAAGAAAAAAGTCAGGTTGGAGCGACATGTTGGTGAGTAAATTATTTTTATTTTTGGGTGAGCTATACTTGTAAATACTTGTTTCGAGTATTTCAATCAATTACTGATCATTAAATATTATCAGATGTGTTTTTCTGTGTATTGTGGAAGATGCATTTTACCATATGTTCCCACAAAACTTCTCTAGATCCCTCTCTCCTCGGAAGTTTCAGATCAAAGCCCTCACATGTAAGTTACAAAGTGCTTAGTTTGAACTAATTAGAGATGAATGAATGTACATGAATCCTTGCCTATTCTGACACTGTTTTCTCCACTATATCTCTTGGGGAGGCATCCATGCAAGCAGCCAGAAGTTCCCCCAAAGATCACTCCAGCCCTGTGTCCAGCACGTTCAGAGATCAGAGTCCAGTCCTGACCCGCTCTTCCCTGAGAGAACGGTACGTTTAACATCCTATACTGCATTTACTCTGTTTGCTGCAAAGCGATTTAACACAGACAGTCTTTGCTCTTCTCATACTGTTCAATTTTGTCATTGGATTGATTTGTTTTTTCATTAGGGCCAACATTCAGAAGCATTATACTTACTTATCCTTCCATATGTTTATTATATGTCATGCTTGTGCTTTTCCTAAAATCCATACTTTATGATATGCATTTTTCTCGAACCTACAAACATGCAGTGAGCGAAACTAAAAGTGCTACCCCTTCATCCTTTTCCTATGAATTTCCAATTATGTGGTATTGACTAAATGTGCGGCTCATAAAAACAAAGCCCAGTAAACAGAGCGTCCATTCCACAAATCTATATTGTGATCACACACAACAGACAAGATGAATTTACTGCCTCGCCTTCAAATGGCAGAACCTGATGTTTGGTCATGTTTGTTCATTACTTATGAGAAGGGGGGGAAAGCTGCTGAGAAAACAAGGGGAAATGCTATTGATTGGGTTTCAGTGAGATCTAATGTGTTTGACCCGATGCACAGTTTAATAAATTCCCAGAGACCCTTGTCATTGATCTGAACATCGGCTGCGAAACCGGCAAATGTTTGTTTGTTTGTTTGCTAGTCTCTCTACCGCCAGCGCCTTTTCCGCAGGGGCATGAGCAAACATTTGAAATCAATAGACAATCTAAGTCTTGAGAGTAAATAGTGGGAAATGTGTGATACTATTTTGTCAATTGAAAGCATGACCGGAGTCACAGGCCCGGAGATTAAGGCTCGCTCCGCAGATTCGCACAATGAGAGATCAGGCACGTCTTTTTGAGCTGCTGATGGGGGGAGGGAAAGAAACGACGCTTTCTAAAGTTCAGGCTGGCCCTCTCTGGCCTTCTTGTATGGTAATTGTAAAGATGACCAGCGTTACGGCCGTTAAAGATAAAGAACCACAGTGATGAATGGCCTTTCATACAGATCTGCTGGTCTTTTTACCTCTATATTACTTTTAATAAAGATTCTAATTAATTATCTTCTTCTGTCTTTTTAACAGGATCGGTGCGTTAATAATATATTGCTAGTTTATTCACACACAGGTTTTAATATTGTAAATCCAAGGACAGCGCACATGTTTGGGTAATTCCTCATCTGAGCTTCTCTCTTGTGGCATATTTAGATGCATAAAAAGAAAATATCAGCATTTGCTACAGGGCTGGAGATAAATGTCTCTGTATGTGCATTTGTGATTTAACTTCATGATTTAACTGGTCTGAAATTTACAAGTAGTATTTCCCAAGATGACAGAGCTCCAATGTAAGGGCGATAGCACAGACTAGTGGTTTGAGCTGGTATTGTTGGGATTTATTTCAGTATTTGGTTTCTTTTTTTTTTTCAACTTAATTTTATTCTTAATTTAAGACTTTTTTTATGATTCTTGCATATATACGATAACCAATATATGAAACATGATTTTTATCT